GCCTTTGCGACTCGGGGATCACAATATCAGCCCACATGACAATTGGCAAAGGAGACAAGGAAGACCATGGTGTGATCACTGTCACAAAACAGGCCATACAAAGGATACATGCTAGAAGATACACGACAAGCCAGCTAACGGGAAACCGAGCTCCCGAGCCCAAGAAAATTATCAAAGCCGAGGAAATGCTGCTAACATTCCTGTCGAGGAATACACACGACCACAAGAGAACAATCCGTTTAGCAAAGAACAATTAGAAGTCCTTCAAAGGCTGATCACTCAGGCTCCACCAAGTCAGCCACCTACTGTTATTGGAACCGGTTCACTTGCACAAAAAGGTAATTTTCTCAACGCCTTAACTGTGAAACAAGAAAAACCGTGTTCTTGGATTATTGACTCAGGGGCTTCAAACCATATGACTGGGAATGCCAATATACTTCATAGCTATTCTCCTTGTTCCCACAATGTCTCTGTCCGGATTGCCGATGGGACTCTTTCAAAAGTGACTGGGATAGGCACAGTAATCATCTCCAGAGATTTAGTTCTTGATACAGTACTCTTGGTTCCAAACCTTGATTGTAACTTACTTTCTATAAGTAAACTCACCCGAGACTTAAACTGTATCACTAAATTTTCCTCCAACTCATGTATTTTTCAGGACTTGGATTCGGGGAGGACGATTGGCAATGCTAGGATGTGTGCAGGGCTCTATTTTCTAGAGGTTGAAGGATGCAACGGGGGACAAACTCATTCAGCAAACCGTGTATCTACTACAACTTTATCCACTTTCCATGTTAGTCAAAATAAAGATAGTGAAATAATGTTGTGGCACTATCGTCTTGGACATCCAAATTTCATGTATCTTGCTAAACTCTTTCCATCTTTTTTTGGCAATAAAAATCTGAAGTTGCTTCAATGTGAGGTGCGTCAATTGTCTAAGCATGTTCGCACCTCATATCCTAGTATTCCATACAAATCTTCACAACCTTTTGCCATGATTCATAGTGATGTGTGGGGACCATCTAGAATTAAAAATATAACGGGTTCTAGGTGGTTTGTTATATTTGTGGACGATCATACTCGAGCTACTTGGCTTTTTCTAATGAAAGAAGGTTGGGAAAATATTTCAAAACTTCAACACAAATGATTCAAACCCAATTTAATAGCAAAATTCAGATTTTTCGAACTGATAATGCTAAAGAATATTTTGCCACCTATCTTGGGGATTACCTTTTAAGTCTTGGAATTGTTCATCAAAGCTCCTGTGTTGATACACCCCAACAAAACGGAGTAGCAGAAAGGAAAAATAGACACCTTTTAGAAGTTGCTAGATCCCTACCTTTTACCACACACGTTCCTAAACATTTTTTGGGAGAAGCCATTCTCACATCAACCTACCTTATCAATCGTACGCCTTCACGGGTTCTTGGCTACAAAACTCCTTGTCAAGTGCTCCTTGAATATTTTCCCAACTCCCGACTTATTTCCACCCTTCCTTTGAAAGTTTTTGGGTGCTTGGATTTTGTCCATATTAGTCCATCCCAAAGAAGTAAACTCGATCCCAAGTCAGAAAAATGTCTTTTCCTAGGATATTCTCCCACACAAAAGGGTTACAAGTGCTATTCCCCAGGAAAAACACGCTTCTTCACTTCTATGGATGTGACTTTTCTTGAAAATCAATCATATTACCCCAAAACCGATATTTAGGGGGAGAATGAGTCCAAACAAGAAGAATATCATTTTTGGAAAAATTTGTCAAGTCCTTTGGAAAATTTGTCAAGACCAAGTCACATCATTCATTCTACTCCCTTGAGTTCCTCAGAATTTTCAACTCACGAACCTGTTTCACCCATAAAAAGTCCTTCTGATTCTCCAAATCCTGAACCTGTCTCACCTGCAAGAAGTCCACATCTAAGCTCCCAAAACATTCCGAGTCCCATATCCAACCGAAGTGTCCCTCCTTCACCTTCACACTCGGAAGCAGAGCCGCATACACAACCTATGCAGACCCAAGAATCTAAACCAAGTCCAAGTAACTCTAATGAATCTCATGAGGTTCCTTTTAATGATATTGGCTGGCATATTGCATTAAGGAAGGGTGTGACGTCTTGTACCCAACATCCGATCTCTAAATTTGTCTCTTATGAAGGTCTATCTCCCATGTATCGTGCCTTTATTACTAAACTTGCGACGACTGAAATTCCAAGCAACATTCATGAAGCACTAAAACAGCCAAGATGGAGAATAGCAGTTGAGGAGGAAATTCGCGCACTTGAGAAAAATAGAACTTGGGAACTATCAGAACTACCCAGAGGAATGAGAACGGTTGGATGTAAGTGGATTTTCACCATCAAACATAAAGCAGATGGAAGCATAGATCGATTCAAAGCTCGGTTGGTAGCGAAGGGGTTTACTCAGTCTTATGGGATTGACTACCAAGAAACGTTTGCCCCTGTTGCAAAGCTCAACACCATTCGAGTCTTGTTATCTCTTGCAGCAAACCTTAACTGGCCTCTTCACCAACTAGACATAAAAAATGCCTTCCTCAACGGTGATTTGGAAGAAGTGTACATGGAAATTCTCCCTGGTTTTGAGACTAAACAGAATACAAACAAGGTGTGTAAACTCAAAAAATCCCTATATGGTCTCAAACAATCTCCTAGAGCTTGGTTCGCTAGATTCACTAGAGCTGTGAAGAAATATGGCTACACTCAATGCCAATCCAATCATACTCTCTTCATCAAACAATCTTCTGAAGGGAAAAGGTCCATTCTTATTGTCTATGTTAATGATATTGTACTTACGGGAGATCATCAAGAAGAAATAAAGGCTCTCAAGCAACTCCTAGCTCAAGAATTCGAAGTAAAAGATTTGGGGTATCTTAGGTACTTCCTTGGGATGAAAGTTGCTCGGTCCAGAAACGGCATCTTGGTTTCTCAACACAAGTATGTCCTAGACCTCCTCAAAGAAACCAGCATGCTTGGATGTAAGCCTTCAGACACTCCCATGGACTCAAATAAAAAATTGGGAGTAGGAAAAGAAAGTACATCAGTTGACAAAGACAGATATCAAGTCTTGGTAGGAAAACTGATAAATCTCTCTCACACAAGACCTGACATCAGTTTCTCAGTTAGCGTTGTCAGCCAATTTATGAACAACCCAACTGAAGAACATCTAGAGGCAGTATACCGAATCCTAAGATACCTAAAGAAGAACCCCGGGAAATGCTTATTCTTCAAAAGGGTGGAGAGTAGAGAGGTTAAGATCTTCACTGATTCTGATTGGGTTGGTTCTATCACAGATAGGAGTTCCACCACCGGTTATTGCACATATGTCTGGGAAAATTTGGTCACTTGGCGAAGCAAGAAACAATCAGTTGTGTCTCGGAGCAGTGCTGAAGTTGAATTTAGGGAAATGGCTCTTGGAATCTTTGAAGGAATGTGGTTGAGGAAACTACTTGAAGAGTTAAGATTCTCAAATGAAGGACCCCTAAAGATGTCCAGCATGCTTGGATGTAAGCCTTCAGACACTCCCATGGACTCAAATAAAAAATTGGGAGTAGGAAAAGAAAGTACATCAGTTGACAAAGACAGATATCAAGTCTTGGTAGGAAAACTGATAAATCTCTCTCACACAAGACCTGACATCAGTTTCTCAGTTAGCGTTGTCAGCCAATTTATGAACAACCCAACTGAAGAACATCTAGAGGCAGTATACCGAATCCTAAGATACCTAAAGAAGAACCCCGGGAAATGCTTATTCTTCAAAAGGGTGGAGAGTAGAGAGGTTAAGATCTTCACTGATTCTGATTGGGTTGGTTCTATCACAGATAGGAGTTCCACCACCGGTTATTGCACATATGTCTGGGAAAATTTGGTCACTTGGCGAAGCAAGAAACAATCAGTTGTGTCTCGGAGCAGTGCTGAAGTTGAATTTAGGGAAATGGCTCTTGGAATCTTTGAAGGAATGTGGTTGAGGAAACTACTTGAAGAGTTAAGATTCTCAAATGAAGGACCCCTAAAGATGTTTTGTGACAATCAAGCAACAATCAGCATTGCTAAGGATCATGTTTATCATGATCGAACTAAACATGTCGAGATAGATCGCCACTTCATCAAAGAAAAAATTGAGGCTGACATCATCACCTTTGTTTACACACCTACCAGAAATCAGATTGCAGATATCCTCACAAAGGCCCTGCCAAGAGCTATTTTTGAAGATCTAAGTTCCAAGCTGGGTATGATTAACATCTATTACCCAGCTTGAGGGGGAGTGTGGAATTACAGCTGTCCTCTTGGGGGCAGTGTGGAATTATAGTTGTCTTCATGGGGCAAATTCACAAGAATCTGTTTCCTGATTTAGTCTAAGGCAGAATATTTACAGGGCTTAATTATAGGAATTGAGCTGGCAAGGTTGTTGCCTTCCTCTTCCTATATATTGTCGTGTATTTGTTAGCTCTACAAAAATAATGAGAATAATAAGAAAATTCTCTCAATCCATTCTTAAAACTAAGAAGGAACCTGACAGTTAGCATTTGTTTTTTAGTAGTATAAATAAGGGTCTAGTGGCTAATGAGGAGGAGGATCAGATTTGTAGATAGTGTCTAGTGCTATGCACTATTTTGGAGGTCGGGGGTCCTCGAAACCGCCCATTTATCCTGTAATTTTCCATTTTTAATATTGTTAATTAAGTAATGAGCTACGTGGAAAAGTGAAATCTATATAGCCGATCCCAATTAAATTGGAATTAGGGCTTGTTGTTGTTGTTGTATTCAGCAGTTAAAAAGAAGATACAACCAATATTAAGTTCTTTAGCAAGTACGTATGAGCGTAATTTCTCAAGTACATACTTAAGGAAACAGTCAATTAGTGCAGGTTAGTACTATTGTTGAACTTAACTTGAACATGGGGCGATATGGTTATACAATGCAGATAACAGAGAGATAATTATTAGACAAAATGGTACAAATACAATGACATATAATTCAAAGCGTCACTCACTTATGTGAGCTCCCGGCCTTCTGCACTGGTGATACAAAAAGTCTGCATAACACGTAGAAGCAAATTCCATACGTTACAAGTACTTAATTTCAGAGAAATTCAAGGTAGAAATGACAACCCCTACTATACATACCGGTTACCAAACAAATCTAAAGATCCTGAGATCAGTATCCGAGCATTGTTTCTAGCCTGCATTAAACAGAATGAAAAGCTCTCCATCAATTCAATGAGTAGAACATATTAGACATGCATCTACTTTGTTCTGGGAAAAACAAATAGCCTATGAAGATATTCCCCTTTTTCCTTTTCCAGTGCCATAACCTAGCTTCTAACTAACGTTGTAAGCTAATCGATTCATATAGTGAACCAACAAATACTTCCAAACAGACGGAAGATTGATTTGTTTATTTATTTCCTAATAAAAGGTCCAGTTTGATTGGAAAAATTCATCTTCAAGGCGGGACAAGAGAAGAGGGGGGTGAATGCTTAAGATTGTTATTGCCATGCTTATATTCACATGAAATATATTTGCAAACAAAAAGGAATTAATTACGACGAACATTCCTAAAAGGGCCTTACTACTTTGTATGATTAAAAAACCATAATAAAATCCAATGTATTGATGTAAAACATAAATCTAGTCTTAGGAGATAAAAAGAGATATAGGATAAGTTGAAAGAGACAATTACTTGCACAACTGAAACAAGTGAGATAGCAGAGCCAGTAAGTGATGGAGGCTGTGACAGCTTGGAACTTGGATCCGATGAATATGCAGAGGGAGAAGCAGAGAGAACTTTTAAAACCTACAAACCAAATCATATGCCGCAAAACGGGAAAAAAAATCAATATTCACAAAGCCATAAAAACCTTTGAAGAGCCTAAATTGCGAAACTTTAAAACCGAATCATAAGGTCAAGCTTAAATCACATAAGTAGAAGGGTTAAACGCAGACTTTGAACCTTACCAAGCTATTAGCAGCATTTAGTGAATGCGCAATTCCTCTGAAAAGTACTGGAGCCTGATTCATGTAGTATAAAGACAATTCACAATAATTATTTGTGTTTCATTTCATTGATTCAGTACCAATCAAACCATTACAAGTATAAGACCATCTTCAACGCAAATGCTAACGTCAATGCCAATTGTATAAAAGTAAATTTTTATTTTTAAAATAATTAAAAAATACAAAAGTTGCAAAAAAGTAAATATTTCAACCAATAGCAATCAAATGTCAAATTTTTTATATGTTATACTTGGTGAAAAATTTGTCACAAAATATAACATATGGGAACTTTAGCACGACAAGTAGAATTGCAATGGAGAGTGTTTTTTACACTCAAATATTAAATTTGTAATTGACACATTAATTATAGCATTGCATTACAGATGCTCACAATTAAAAAACTTACCTCAATCTTAGTCTTCCCCAGAATCACATCAGACTCAATAAAATCATCGCTGGCAATCAGCGTATGATCTCCTTCAGTCTCTGACGCCGCATAGCTAGTGTGGTCAATCACCACAGCCGATTGATCCTACAATATGAAAAACTGTATCTTTAAATTGAAACAGAATTTCACATTTACAACAAAAACTACGTATCCCTCAGCAGATTATTCACGTACCTCGTCGAAATCAACCCCGAATTCTGCGGCAAGATTTCGAGTCAAATCAGAGGGAGAGACATCAGCTGCCAAGATCAAGTCATGGCCAGAGTCGACAAATTCTAGAACAGCCGCAAAATCCAAAGACCCTCCGAAACCTGTCCGCAGAAAAGAAATGAAATTTGACCTATATAACGAAATAAAAACCAGAATCCATGGTCGAACAACGAATTAAAGTGAAGAACTTACGTTTGGTGGTGGGAGAGAAGAGAATGAGAGCGTCATACAAGTATTGGCCATAGCGTTGGATGGCGAGCTTGGGATTGTCGGCGAGCTTGAAATCGAGGTCGAAGCCGCGCGATTGGAGAGATTGGAAGAAGATGGAGTGAGAGGACTTGATGGAGAAGTCGTCGAGAAGGACGAGGATTCGCCGATCGATAGGGTTTTCGGGAGAGAAGGAGTTGCAGAGCAAGGGGATGAGCGAGATTGCAGCGATGAAGAATGTGAGTCTCCGCATTGTGAAATCCCTCTCTCTCTCTCTCTCTCCTCTTTCTCTCTCTAGGGTTTTGGTGAAGTTACAGAGAGAGAAACGAACAGTGGTTTTGGGGAAGAAGAGAAAATGGATCGAAACGAGAACGTTGACGATGAGAATTGATGAAGACTTTCCGGGTTGGGTTAAACCGGAGACTGTACTTTTTGCGTAATGACAGCCGTTCGATTTTTCATCAGACCGGGTATTGATTGTTTGTGTTTCAGAAAGTGAAAACGTCGTTTACTAGTTTAAACGACAGCAAATTATGAACTTAAGTACTGATAGCCTGACATCTCGTTTCATCACGTAAACGACGTTACAGCGGCGAACTTTTTAATGAATATTCGACGTGCCGTTTATTTGTGATTTTCGTATAACGTTAATAATTAACGATTAACGATAACGGATTTGTAATGTGAAATGTGAACTTCATGTCGTTTTCCCAACGAAACGACAACAAAAGTTCATAATGCAAACGACGAAGGTGTTAAAAAATAAAAAAATAAAAAAAACCTGAAACAACAAAATAATTCACCCGTCGAAATGTCTTCTCACTCAAACAACAACAGAGTATAGAGATAAATCCGACATGTTAAGAAATAAACGGCAGTGAATCTTTTTCCTTTTTTTTTTTAAATGGCAGTAAATTTTTTCATATAAAGTATAGACTAAATGAGTTTGTAGTAAAGTACTCAAAATTCTTGAAAAATGAATCCATAACGTTTTACATTTTCAACTGAAACAACAAAACATTACAGCATATCTGACTTAAACATGTCGTTTATTTTCATAAACGATAAAATTATGAAAATAAATATCACAAATTTTGAATAAGTCATAAACGATTAAAAAAAACACTTCTAATGCACTAACGACGTGTTTTTTATAAGAAAGTGTAGCGAATTAAATTATTTAAAGATAAAATTACATAATGTACTCTTAAGAGTGTATAAATCTAAATTTTTATCAGTCATTTTTAAATATACTTTTGTTAGTATAGTTATTTGACTAAATAAGTTAATAATTAGTAAAAATCTTGATCACACATTTTTAAGAGTGTTTGTATCATTTCTCCATTATATAACATGTATTTCAATTAGAAAAAGGCAGCGGATTTAAATTTTTTAAAACATGTATTTCAATTAAAAAAAGCAAATTTAAATTATTTAAAAAAATTGTAATGCACAAACAACGCTTTTTTAATAACAAATAACATCTACATTTATAGAAAGCTCAATATATTTACTATTTAGTCTCTCATAATTCACTATTTAAACCTTAAACATATAAAAGAAAGCTCAATGCATTTACTATTCATCCTCTCACAATTCACTATTCAAACTTTTGGTTCGTTTATTTTGTCATTTTGTGCTCTTTCTCTCTCTTTGTTGTTCTATTTGTCCTTATTAACATAATTTTTCTCAAAATATTTAAGTATCATTCTTACAAAATGGTCTTTATAAGAAAATATTTAAATAGCTTTCTTACAATATGGTCCTTATAAATGTTTTTTTATTGCCTACTAATTTTTTTTATATGTGCCCTACTAAAATATTTTTATCTTTGCTAAAATATAAAATATGAATATTAATCATCTTCTTTTATGTTAAAAAATCATTCCTCTTCTTATATCCTCATATTTTGTGCAAAACTTTCAATTGATATCTTTACTTATTCAAAAGTATTCAAAAAGTTTACATTCAATTGTTATTTGCTTGTTTAGGTATTAGAAAAAAAATAATAAATTGTATTTGGGTGTCTCTGAAAACGGGTATTAAGTAATAGTCTTAGAAAATAAAAAAATTAAATGTGAAAAAAACTTGCAACCATTTTCTATTTTGTTAATAAAAATCATTCTCACGATTTTTTTGTTTATATTATGATATTAAAACAATTACTAATCAAATGTGATTATAGTATTTAAAAATATACATAGGAAAAGGGTAGCTAATTTAAATTATTAATGGTTACAACTTCTTGAAAGCTATCAAATTACAATTTACATCTTACTAGTAATAAGTAAAACGACATGTTCTTTAAGTTGTAAACGACAACAAATGTTAAGATCAACGAATACTTTTTTTAGGGCTTGTTCTTTTGAGTGAAAAATTCAAAAAAAGTCAACTCGAGTTACAACTTTATTCGAGTTCATGTTCATTTAAGTTTAAACTCGAGTTTATGACTAAAACTCGAGTTCAAGTTTCCCCTTCAACTCGAGTTCAGAAACTCGAACTCAAATTAATGAACAGTATTTTTTCTATTCTTAAAAATGCTATGACTTTTTCGTTTTAATTCTGATTGAGATGATTTTTTTTTCTATGCGTTGACAACGAAAAGACGAATAAAACCCGACCCATATACCCTATTAAAATTTTTCATCAGCATTGAGTTTTTATTAAAATACTATCTAAATATAAATTCAAGTTTTGACTCACTCAAACACAAACTCAAAAAGATTCTTATCTCAAACCATAACTCAAATGTACACAACCAAACACAAACTCAAGTTACAAGTTCAACTCAAGTTATAACTCAAATTCAACTCAAGAATTATATTCAAGTTAAACTCTAAAAGAACAAACCCTTACTTTTTAGTGCAAAAGGACGGCAAAACTATCTACTAGAATCAATGATCGCTCAGTGTAGAATGTAAACATTAAAAGCTCCTTAATCATTGGGGCGACACTTTCTCTCGCTCTCTCTCTCTTGAGAAAACTAGTGCCGTGTTTAGAATTGTTATTATTTTTATTTTTCATGTTTTTCAAAAAAAAAATAAAAACAATTTTAAAATGGCGTTTGACACAATTAAAAATAAAAAATAAAAATAAAAATAAATTTTTATTTTAGTGTAAAATAGGAGAGAAATGAAAAATGACTTTTATTTTTTTTTCATTTTTTGTTTTGTTTTCTCCTCTCTCGAGCACAGAGAGAGGGAGACATTAATGGATTTTTTTTATACTGAAAACAATTTCTTGATAAAACTACTAAACGCATTTTCAAAAATGATTTATGTCTAAGATTGAAAATGTTTTCATTTTCATTTATACAAAAAACAAAATCATTTTGGAATGCATTACAAACGCACCCTAGGGTTTCCTCTCTTATGGGCGTGCCATTGTTCTTAGGTCGGAGTCCAACGCCATTGCTTAGCTGGCCTTTGGATCTCCGGCCATAGAGATGATTCTCAGGGGTCTTCCGATAGTTTCTCAGGTGGTGATGGGTCTAATCTCATGGCGTTGGAGGCAGATGTTCAACATTTTGGTGCTGCGCTATCGATTGTTTGGCTGTCTTTTTTGGGCATGCAAACATTCGAAGGTTGTTGGTGCTTTGGGGGTTTCGGCCCTAATGTTGAGGTACAGATGCAGAGGGGTAGCTTGCTCGGTAGGTTGGCCGGAGTTGATGACAGAGGTGTGGCCGTTGTCAACAGGGCGTGGTTCTTCGAGGGGTTGTGGTACAGGGGCCTTTGCCTCGGTGGTACAACGCTTGTGGTGGAGGCTGCGGCTTGGTTGGTGGCGGCAGTGGAGCAAAGGGCTCCTACGTGATGGTGTCAATTCTCTTCTCATGTGATGTTTCCGCCTCTTTGCAGATTGGCCACTTCTGGTCTTTGGCGATGCTGCGATTGGTTTGTTACTGTCCAGGTTTTGTGCGAGGTCGAGGTCTCTAGCCTGTTTGTTTTAAGGCTTTTTAATTCAATGAAGGCGTTGTATTCGCCTCTTTGTTATTGCTTTTTGTTGTTTTGTTTTATGCTTGTAATAACGAAGGTGGTCTCCCACTTTCTATTTTTATTTCAGCGACCAATCTGCTTGGGTTTGGTCATAGTGGTGTTGTGAGTGACCTTTAGTTTACAGGTCTCTTAGTCTTTATCGATCGAAATTTTTCATCAATTATAGAGGAGTTGTTTAAAGAGCCATGTGTATGCTTAATTAGCATGCCTTCTGAACTTTTCATTGTTGGAGTTTGGTCCATATTTGCTCCCTTTAGGCATTTCAATAGGTATTACTAGTTGCATAGATTAATGGGGTTTAGTTTTCTTGTATTGTTTAGTCATTCGAGTCATCATTAGTGTATGTATCTGTTTGATTTGGAATACATTTGCTTTTCAAAAAAAAAAAAAAAGGAATCAATGATCGCTCCAATTGTCTTGCAAATTAAATGACAACAAATTATAGAATGTTGGGTGTATGTTGTTTCAACGTCTAAGGGGTTGTTCTTTTGCATTTTTGAGTTAGAATAACTTGAGTGATGATCTTGAATTGAGTTTAAATTATAACTTGAGTTGAAGTTATAACTTGAGTTTGTATTTGGATGTGCACATTTGAGTTATGATTTGAATTGATAATATTTTTGAGTTTGTATTTGAGTGAGTCAAAACTTAAATTTGTATTTAGATAGTATTTTAATAAAAACTCAATGGTGATGAAAAATTTTAATAGGGTATATGAGTGGGGTTTTATTCGTCTTTTCGTTGTAAATGCATAAAAAAATCATCTCAATTAGAATTAAAACAAAAAAGTTATGACATTATTAAGAATATAAAAAATACTGTTCATTAACTTGAGTTTGAGTTTATGAACTTGAGTTGAAGGGGAAACTTGAACTCGAGTTTAGCCCCATACTCGAGTTCAAACTCGAATTCAAACTTGAGTTCAAACTCAAATTTTACAAAAGAACATGAACTTAAATAAAGTTGTAACTCGAGTTCAATTTTTTTTTTTGAATTTTGTTGCAAAAGAACAACCTCTAAATTATCTACAAATTTATACTCCAAACGACATAAGTATCTAATTTTAATTGTGTTAATCATCATCATCATTGTTACTGATAATAATAATAATTTTTTAAGTATTGATTAAACTCTTTCGTTTCATTCATTCGAATTGAAAATTTGAGTTAGAAAATAAATTTGAGAGAAAAAACACTGTAATAAAAAATTTAAATTGTAATTCTAATGGTGAAACAAACGAAGCCTCAAAGTATATATTCTGCAAACAAAATGTATTTTGTAGTAGCAAGCACACTAGTACTACCAATCTAATTAACATTGCCCTCTTGCTTTCCAAAAAAAAAAATTTGTAAAAAGAACTGCTATTAAGGTTTTTAATTTTTGATAAAATAGAAAATTTATCTTTAAGGGTTTAAATTTATACTTTTTATTTTTGATAAATATTTATTTTTAATGTAATTATTTAATTAAAAAATATAAATTAAAAATAAAAAATAAAAAATATGATTCATAAAATTTTAAAAGGTATTTATTAATAGGAAAATAGTAAAAAATATGTCAATATGAAAAGCTTAAAAAAATATATAGGTTAATTTTTAGTTATAAAAATTAATAAGTCATAATTTGTCAAGTTATAGTTCATAACCAGATAAATTATGGATAAACTTATCAAGTTATGGTTCATAGTCAGACAAATTATGAACTAAAATTGTGAATAACTTATCAAATTATGGACAAAAATAATAATTTAACATATTTATTAACTTATATAAACTATTAACCTATTAATTTTAATTCATCTAAAGTCTTAACCTAATTTCTTCTTTCTCCCTTATCAATATTCAGCGGCTAAAAAGGCCCAATGAATTTCATCCTGTGAACAGGAAGTCCACGATTTCAAAGCCACAGCGTACAACTAAAGCTACATGATCTTCTCACCGTAGCCCATCCCCATAAAACGCGCGTCGTTTCTTTGCAAATCCCGTCTCCCTCCCTTCTTCGCTTTTTCATTTCCACTCCCAATCCAACCCCAACCCTCCTGGACCAGAGCACTACCCATCGGAATTTTCTCCAACAGGTTAGTTTCTTCTGCTTTTTCATCGTCGTTTTCTTTACGTTTCGAAACTTCTCCCCGATTTTTGTTTCGAAACCCGTTGCGGGTTTATATCGGAGAGGATTAATTGCTTCTTGTGATTTGGATTTTCGCTTTTGGTTTTTAATTTTGGGTAATTCTTGATTTTGCGATCGGTTCTTTGGACTTGATTTGCTTATTTAAGTTTTTTTTTTCTTTTTTTTTTCTGGGTTCAATTTAATCGCTGTTTGTATACTTTTTGTGGGAATTTAGTCCTGATTTTGGAAGATGAAGTATTTTGCAAACTTGACCTTTTCAATCAAGTGAAAAGGAGACTATAAATTCCTTGTTGGAAATTTTTGTCATCTTTTTTTATTGCAAAAAAGCTGAGTTTCTTCTGCTTAAGGCTAGCCTTATAAGAACATATTTAGGAATTCTTTTCTGATTAAAGAAGCTCCGCTGCTCTTTTCTTTTCCTTTTTTTTTTGTTTTGTGACACTTAATTTGAACCTCCAAAATAATGACATTCAACCTCCAAAATAATGACATTCATGTAGTACAGATCCGAATCTTGAATGAAAACTAAACGATAAATTAGGTTCGTTCGAGGGACCCTAAACTTTCTAGTTAAGTTTTCAAGGAACTAAGGCCTGTTAATTCGAATCACAACTCAAGTTTTTACTATAGTGTTTTCTCTTACAAAAATTCAAATTCAACCTTTTTTGCTGTAGCATTCTCTCTCACATGAATTCACTTTTTAACTCAAGTTTTCAACTCAAAATGAGCGAAATGAACCAGGCATAAGACGTCCGAAAAGCGTAAAATGGTCCAAATATGTATTTTCATTATCTTGAACTCCGTAAATGGAGTAGAAGATAATTACAATTCAAAATGTAAAAAGCAGAATTAAGAGCCACTAAAAACACACTCTCATTTCTCAACTCTACGACTACCTAAAAAGTAGGAACAACTCTATCACTTACCTAAAAATTTAATCTAAACATGTTGACTAATTCAAGATTAAGGGAAAACAAGCAACGTACAAACTACAAAGTAGAAAACTTTGGTTTGAATAATTAAATGTATTGAATATAATTTCTGATTAGTTCTTATGTATTGTATTTTTATTAGTTGGGGCTGACCAAGTTGAGTTTATAAAATCCATATGATTACACTCTGTTATTCATGACAAAAATAGATATATTATGAGAAGCTGATTACTTGTTTGTTGTTTTATTGTCCAAGGAATCATACTGTTTTGAGCTAAATTGCTTCTGTTTTTTTTGTTTTTGGTCATGGACGTACTCTTTTTGATTAACTACTCTTTTGAGCTATTTTAGTCCATTCTACGGGCTGATTGTAGGGTCCTTTTTTTTTTCTTTTCTTTTTTTTTTTTTTCCTTTTTTGGTGGGGTGTGGCAGAAGATATGATTAGGCTATTCAAAGTAAAGGAGAAACAGAGAGAACTTGCTGAAAACGCCAATGGAGGGCCACCCGTTAAGAAGCAATCTGCCGGGGAGCTGCGTCTTCATAAAGGTGACCATCTCTATATAATGATAAAATGATTTATATATATATATATATGTATATACTGCTGTGTTTGTGAAAGAACTGTATGCGTGTGTGCGCTTCTCTTTTTTGTTTTGGAATTATGGTATTTTCATGTTAGTGGATTTTAGTTTATGAAAGTATTTTCTACTTCGTGTTTGGATGGATCCATCTGCTGGGAGCAGTATGTAGAAAGATGATAATCAAGTTACGGTCATGATCTCTTTAGTGGTACAGATTTCATCTGTTTCCTTTTGGATTTGAAGGAATAATTAAGTTTATCTACCACAAAAAACTAATAAAACAAACTTCAGGAATGAACTGGTTTTAAATCGTGATAGTAAATGACTGAATTTCATTTACATTCGAGTCCAAAATTAATATTTTACGGCTTACCTTGATGTGGCCAGAATACAGACTAAAAGAAGCATGCATTTCTGTTTCTTGTACTATACTGGGGTTTTGTTGACTGATGCAGCAATGCCAAAGTGTAGGCCAGTTTTAATGTTTTTTTTTCTCTTCTTTTGGAAGGAAAATGTCTCATTCCTGTGTGTGTGCGCACCCGTTTTCACTGAACTAATATCTCATTTGTTTATAAAGGAGTAACTTGTTTGTATTTGATATCTGACCTGCCGCAGATATTTGTGAATTGAACTTGCCAAAATCATGTGCCATAACTTTCCCAAATGGCAAGGATGACCTGATGAATTTTGAGGTTTCCATTCGCCCTGATGAAGGATATTATTTGTAAGGAAGTTATCTACCTCGTCTACCAAAATTTTTTTGTCAGTTTCCCATATTAACGTTTGGCCTTTCCATCCTGGAGAAAGATTGGTTTCTTTATTTCTCTCTTTATTGGATATATTCTCACGTCGCTTCTATAGTTGGATACAATTAAACTTTCCAGTTTCTTCCCTTGGTTGTTACAGAGGGGGCACATTTTTGTTCTCTTTCCAAGTTTCGCCCATCTATCCACACGAGGCACCAAAAGTCAAGTGTAAGACCAAGGTAGCTTCATAGTTTTTCTTTCTTCTTATGTTCAACTGATACCTTTCTAGTATTGGACCTTTTGCTCATACCTATCGTGCGCTCTGCTTGCAGGTCTACCATCCTAATATTGATTTGGAAGGAAATGTATGCCTGAATATCTTAAGAGAAGATTGGAAACCTGTCCTCAATATAAACACTATCATCTACGGGTTGTATCATCTCTTTACGGTAATTTACTTTTTTGCCAATGGATCAATTTTGTGTGGTTTGTTGCCGTGTGATATATAAATGTCATTTTTTTTCCTTTGATTTTTACTACAGGAACCAAACTATGAGGATCCCCTGAATCATGATGCTGCAGCAGTGTTGAGAGATAACCCGAAGATTTTCGAAACAAACGTGAGAAGGGCAATGGCCGGTGGCTATGTGGGGCAGACCTTCTTCCCTCGCTGTGTGTAGCTTTTCTATTGAAAGCACCAAGGTCCATGGTCATATGCCTACTTACCCTTGAAATGGAATTTGGATTGTAAAATTTAACTGCATAATAGAATTTTCTTCATCTTTTTCTTTCCTTTCTTTTCTTTTTTTCTTTTGTGGATGGAGCTGGCCATTTATTTCCTTAAAGACTTGGCAAATGAAAACCGAATGAGAATGTGTATGTGAATGTGAATGTAAACTCTGTTGCACTCTATTGTCAGACATTTCATATGTTCTTTTCATGTTGGAGAGGCTAGCGTTACTCAACGTATAGCAGTAACGCAAAGTCTTGCCCTTATATCTAAACCCGCCATTCCTATTGCCTTTAACACGCGCATTATAAATAATTGAGCGTCTACGGTGTCAGAATTATTAGTTTTAGTTGTACTATTAGATAAGATTACAAAGAAATACAAATGTACTTTCTCTATGGCATGTTGAATAATGAGTAACAAGAATTGGGAATTGTTGATTAGTCATGTCCGTGTTGAATTATGCAAACTTCTAGGTACTTGTACCATCGTACTTCCTCGTTTTTTAAGAAATCATTTGGACCTAGTAAAAACAAATCCAAGAGCAATTTTGAGAGAAACAAGAAATTTAGGATATTGTTCTATAAAAAATGGGGATAGTGCAATGGTTCCAACTTTTGTTTTAGTTCAAGTTTGAGAAAGTAGTTGACCAATAGTTAGTCCTTGGCTTCAACACATTGAGCAAACAAAATGTCACTTTTATTTGGCACGTTTTGATGAAATGGGTATCTCTAGGCGTTTGAGGGAAAACTTCCCTGTTTCCTAATGAGCCGTATATATCATCTGATCAGTATTTCTGACAATACAAAAATCAGTCCCTGAAATGTAAACATTATTTCAATACAACAGGCTCTGCCTCTATGAAGAACCATCTCCTATAGAGATCTAGAAAACATGTAACTTTCATGATGGCAAAACTCGATGTCTTTGAAGTTCCATGGTATAATTCTTGCTGGGAAAAAAATATATATGCACCTGAAATGGCTGAAGCTATGATCCCAAAATCTCGAGAAAATTGCCAAAACAAAAAAAAAAGTTGATACTAAGCATCAAATGCTTTTCGTGAAACCATCTCTTCCTCTTTCACACAGGCCATTCTAGCATTCTCACGGTCCTTCCAGAAAATCCTATACAAAGGGGTGTAAAACAAGCAACAAATGCCGAAGGGAACGGCCATCATTGAAAGAAGCCCCTGAGACAGCGCAAAGGCCTCCCTCTTGGACCCCAATACTGGATCTACCGCTTTTGAATCGTAGCCAAACATCCTCTCCGAAAGAATACCGACCAGTGGAGCAGCAAACGAAGAGACTGAGCCCTCAAAAGCACGGTCAAAGGCGTAGATCATGGTCCTGTGCTTGGTGGGAACTACCTCAGCAAACATAGGAGCATTTGCAGCAGAACCATTCCAACTGATGGTTAAGCCCATCAGGAAGAGAGTGGCACAAAAGATGTGGTAGCTGTTCACTGACTGTGGAATCACCTTGAGTAGGAACCATGAGAACGGGATGCCCATAATGGCGCTGAACTGAGCACACATTATGCGACCCGAGCGAGGGTAGATTTGAGAGAGTTTGTCTGCTATTAGTCCTCCAACCAGTGAGCCCATAGCACATCCAATGGCAAAAAGGCTAAGAAGAGTTGCTGCACCATTGTGATCAAAGCCTGAAATGAAAGTTAAAAAGACATCCAACATCATCAAAAAACCACATTCTCACATATCCATGCTTCTACATGTGAGATCCCAAAATGGCAAATTCGAATGCATCACAAAGTTTAGTTGCCACTCAAGTTACGAGATTGCTTACCGATTAGTTCAAACCACATGGTGAAGAACACCATGGCAGTCCATGGAAGCGATCCAACAACACCCTGCAACACAATTATTTGAAATGTTTGCACTTTTGTGACAGCTTTCATGGCCGTCCAAGACTCAAGCCAAACTGATGCTACACTAGAATTGCCTTTATCTAGCAGTTCATCCCTGCATAACAAAAGTGAATAATAAAAATCTCTCCAATCTTTCCACCTAACTCGGAAATTTTTCCTGAAGTCTATAACTATCAAGGGACTAAAACAGACAGTAGAAGAATCAATGGGCGAAAAAAATTCCAATTACCTCTCAGAAACATCAGCAGTGTTATGAGTGACACTAGTTGCTTTTCTTGGGTCAACCACAAACAAGAAAACAAGAACTCCAATCGCAGCACTCAAAGTTGCCATCATAATGAAAGCGAAACGCCATCCCGGCATACCAAAGTACTGCTGGCCAGCCATAACTGTGGCCACCACACCACCTCCTATGCCACCAAAAGTACCAACGAGGCCTACCAAACCAAAACCAGTCCCTCTCATACCATCATTATAGCTATCAGCTATAAAAGACTGAAGTGCCGGTATCACAATAGCCAATCCAAAGCCATTAACCGCTCTCCAGAATGCAACTTGCATAAAATGCTGGCTTGCTCCCACGGCAGCAGTCGATAATGCCCAGCAAAAGGTTCCCATTGCAAGAACCGTAGGGCGATCGTAGTTGATGACTAGAACACCTGCTAATGGTGATGAAATTCCTTGCACAAAGTTCCTTATGAATGTGAGGTAGCCAAGGTCAGATGGACCTGCACTAAAAGCTTCACTGACTTCTTTGTAAACGGATGGGAGGAGATTTTCGTCAGCGCGTTCCATTATAGCAGCCAAGTTGATGAGGATGATAGAGAGGGAAACCCCAAAAATCTTTCTTGTCCTGTGAGTTTCAAAGATACAGGAAAAGACTGTCAATGGTCTGAAATTCTTAGGAACCAGGGTTAATCATGCATTACACACTCTACTTAAACACAAGCAGAAATAGTGTACCAGACCATGAAATTCCTCTTCCAATGTTTGTGGAAACGGGATTTAATTTACTTTCAATTGACTTAACTACTGAAAAAAGTTCCAATATTGGAATTTTCCAACATTGATACAGTTCTTGAATTATGTAAGTAGGCTTTCTAAATAGAAAATATCCTTTACATCTAAAGCCTATCTGCTATCTCTCCCAATTTTGAAAGAATGTAAGCCATATGACAAATTCAGGTTATGTTCACAACAAGAATAAATTTACCACCCCCCGTGGTCATGTATTGGGACTGCTATTCCACTCAAGACCCATCAAAATTTAAAAAAAAAAAAAAAAAAAAAAAAAAAAAAAAAAAAAAAAAAAAAAAAAAAAAAAATTTAAAAAAATTTTTTCTCTAAAAGATAACATAAAATAAAATGAAAACAGCATTTATGAACATTTATCATCTAATATTTATTGTCACTCTAAACTATAATAGTTGCAGACATGGCCTAGCGATAAATACACACTCTCCCTCTCCCTCTCCCTCTAATGTTCTAGATTGAGGGTTCAAATCCCGCAATCCAATTCAAAATAATAATAATAATAATAACAGTTTAGTCATAATAATAATAATAATAATAATAATAATAATAACAGTTTAGGTATATAGAATATAGATACCGTCTTGAACATAAGAGAGATCTTCGCAAACCAAGAAGCACCTTAATAAAAAAGGAAAACAAAAGGAAGATCCTAATAAAGAAGTACCAGGATATAATTAGCAACTTCTCAATTTGCTCGAGAGATTTTTGAAACTCGTAAGAAATCACCCAAGTAAAAAAAATGAAAAAACGAAAAAAAAAAATTATATAAGTAAAGGCAAATGTCAAATATTTACTAATTAGAAACCATTTCTGCCACTTACAGAACCAAAACGAAAAAAACAAAAATGTAAGACTGTTTAACAGTTCAAGCATTAAAATTAAAGACCCCAAAGCATATTTACCAGGTTATACTGATAAATATAGAATCATTAATAATCAGACAGAAGTACAAAGTATAAAATTATCATCCCAAAAAAAATCTACAAACACATCAATATAAATATCTTAAGCCAAAAACAAAAATACAGGAGACCAAGAACAGTATTTTGTGAATCAAAGAGATTAATATGAAAACTTACTTCATGGCTTCCAAACTTCTGGGAAGAATATGTCTGAATCGAAAGGCAAGAGGACCAGAGTATCTTGAGGGCCTTTTACGGCCCATAAACAGAAGTCGAGGGATCCCACCAATAAAAATTAAAACAACTTCTCAAGCACAGATCTCGAGCATCTATGGCAGATCTAAAACTCCAACTTTCCGTGTCAAAAACCACTCTTTTGACCTCCCACGCACTCATCACCGATTCCACCAAAAATAAAAAATAAATAAATAAACTAGTATTCAAATAGCGAAACGCTTAAGCTAATAATATACAAATGCTTTCGATATGATCAATATAATATACGAGAAAAAACCCAACAAAAAAAATTCAAAAGATTCTGTCCTTGTCTCTGTTTCTGCATCTCGTGGGAATGATATTAAGGAGTGATTTTTTTTTATGTGTATAAAAACTGGCTCTTAAGTCTTAACAGTTCAAGACAAAAAACAAAAAATAAAAAAAAACTTGGGGTCTAAGGATTAAGATTTCTTTTTTTTTTTTTAGGTGTTTGATTGGTTTACGCTAAATAATTTCTCTCTTTTTTTAGATATTTCTCATTCGTGTATTTTTGGGTCAAGAACTCGAGATGTCGAAAATCAAAAGGTTATCTTTGAATTTAAGAATAGAAAATTCGAAGCTGATGACACTGAAATATGGAGACAAGTCCAGCGTGCGGAGTGGAGTCCAAATCTTGTCCGTTGGATACGAGTTAAAAGCGCAAAACGCGGGGTCAACTTCCGTAAATCCGAGCCATTTTCTTATACCACTTTTCATTTTATTTGTCACGTCTTTTTTAAAATTTTAAAGCAAAAAATTAATACTCTGGTAATTGCATCGTCATTCAACAGGGCACACAAATAGAAGCTTTAACATCTATTTCATCAAGCATTTCATCGTCGTTTTCTTTTTTTATTATTTATTATTTTTTTGAAGTAATACACTCTGTGTTTTAGGCCGTATGCATCAAGCACTAAACTTTCTATGTGCTATGTGATGATGATCAAATAATACAGAAATTATAACACTCGATTGCGAGTGAAGCAATTCTAAAATCTTAAGAAGCCGCCACCATAGAAACAATAAATGCAAGGCACTCTCAATTCATGAACTCTAATAATGTTAAGAACAAAAGAAAAATTTGGCAACAAACCAATCAGACCCATAAAGCTAAAGTTAACATCTCTTGCAAGTTAGCACAATGGACGAAACACTAATCCTCACAAAATAAAACGCACAAAATTACCATCTCGTAATTTACAAAAAGCAATCACAGTGATTTTAACGAAATCAAACGCACAGAATTTCCATCTCTCGTAATTTGAATACATGATCGAATGATGAAGAGTTTATATATATATATATAGACACACACACACACACAATCATGAAGCGGATGCAATCAATAATAAAGAAATTTAACCACGAACGTGAAAGAAATCCATCCTTATACTCTTTTAAAGAAAATAACTACTTTTTAAGGTGGGGTGTGTAAAAAGTATTTTTTTTATTAAAAAAATACTATTGCCCTTCAATGTATTGTTATTAACGGGTAATTAAGTTACAAAAAATTTCATTAAAAAAAGTGTTTGAAAAATAGAAAAGCGAGTGCGAAAGAAAAATGGGTGCGAATCAACCTAAAATTATTAAAAAAAAAAAAAAAATTCTCCAAATTCAAAACTCTTATGTTTCTCTCTCTCATCTTATTGTAACATCCAGTTAAATTAATTAAAATTAATTAATTAAATTTAGTGACCAGTGTTACTTAATCTAATATTAGTGAAAGATTTTCATTTATAATTATCATATAAAAAACCCTTTCCTTTTAAAAATAATTCTTTTAAAATTGACATTGCTGTCTCTCGAACAATTTTAAGTGTTGATAGTTAATTTTTCAAAATAGAAATAATAGGTTATTTCATACTCTATTCAAATTGAACTTTAAAGTCTAATTATCAAATTTGTATAAAAAGTCAAAGCTCATTTTCTTTCTTTTTTTCCCTTTTTCTTTCTTTTTCTCCTTTTTCTCTCCTACTCTCTCCCACGTTTACTCTCTCTTTGCGCCGACCACCTACCACCGTTGAGATTCCGGTGTCGTTTCACGACACCACCCATACCATTGGAAAGCTCTCGACGAGCTGGACTCGTTGACATGCCGCACGACCTCCATCTCAGCCGGAAACAGCCGCAATTGCCGGTGAAATGTCTGAAAACTATCGAAACTTCTTGCTGTATAAATTTGCCGTCCGACATCCGATCGGAGCGATTCTGGTCCCTATGGACTCAGCTTGACGAGACGAACAAAACCCACGACGTCTCACCCATCGATTATCGCCGTAGCGCCATCGCAGGAGCCGCTTATTTCGGCCGCTGCGCCTCCTCTCCATTGTGCACTATTCCGGCCTCCATTTTTGACACCGCTGGTGTGATTGGACTCAGAGGACGACGTAGAGCAAGAAGCAACCCCCAGCCACCCGAATCCGCTGCCGTTTGGGTGGAGGGTGGTTCCGATGATCCAACCATTGGATCGTCATGATTTTGGTGTCAAAACACTCAGAATGAAGTGGGTAACAAAAGTGCTCAGCCAATTTTGACGTTTCATTGTCGGAGAATCGAGAACCAAGTCGCCAGATTTTGCCGGCGTTTTTGGGTTTGATCGGAGTATATAGAGGCAGAATTTGGTGAAATTGATGGCACCATTGAACTCAAAATGGTTGATTTTGGGGGCGTAGGACCCAAGTCCGCCGCGGAAATATGCTCCGGCAACCTCCGCCGCCGCCGGTCGCCAGATTCCGGCAAGTCTTAGTTCTTGAAATTCCCAATGTTCGATCGAAGATCTGAGACCATATCTTGTCTCATTTCGACGTGCCGAACGCAACGGTGACCTCCGTTTGCACCAATTTGACTCCGTTGAAAAGTCTACCGAATTGTGCATGCAAATCGAGGCGAATCGAGTTGAGGTTTAGAGCAATGTGTGGAGCTTCAAGAATAGACAGTTGGACAATGTGAAGTTATCCGTAGATTAAATTGCCAAGAGGTAGAATAATCTTGTCTATATCCTTGTTAGTCTTACTTTAAATGGTTTTGGCTAATGAAAATGTTTTAGAACAAAACATGTTGAAAGAAAATGATTTTAAAGGAATAACATGAATAATGCTATTGACTTTCCAATGATCTTTGGAAATGAGATTTTTGAAAGTATTATTTCTTAAAATGAAATATTTTAAGAAATGAAAAAACGCAGTGTGACATCAGATATCAGGGTATGGAAATCGTATTCTTGGGGGCAAGGCTCGAAACCCATACGGATCCACTTTTTGCTCAGTAGTGTTATGGCTCTGCACATTTTCATTATACAGATAGTTTACCACTTCTTGCTCAGTGGTGTTATGGCTCCGCATATTTTCATTATACATATATTTTTTTACTATTATGTGAGTATTTCTTTTTAAAAAAAAAAAAAGATGTTCAGTTCTAGGTGCATGTCTTCGGACTGTGAGTACCTTTATTTACAATGTTTTATAAAATTGTATGATCGGTTCCGGGTGTATGTCTTCGGACCGTGAGTACCTTTATTTACAATGCTTTATAAAATTGTATGATCGGTTGTATGTCTTCGAACCGTGAGTAGCTTTATTTACAATGTTTTATAAAATTGTATCCTACTGGCCTTCTGCTCGCTTTTATTATCTTTTCAATGTTTTAAACCCCTCCTCCAGAGTTAGCGGTTTAGATTTACAGCGTGACAAGTGGATGCCAGTGGATTGAAGACGCGAGATTTGAAGCGGTACGTTTGTTTCGGATTTACAGTTTTAAATTCTGAGATGTACTGTATTTATGTGTGTAAACTGTATTGGTCGACATTGTCCCAGAGTTGTACTATTTTCCTTGGACTTTATGGACTGTTTTAAATATTATTTGTGAAAAAAAGTCTCCGGAGCAAACTATATTGATATTTATGTATCTATTTTTGTAGTTTTGTTAAATTATCTAGTTTAATTAAGTTAAATTTTAAATTAAACTCCTAATAATCACGGCTATATCCTTAGGGTCGTGACACTTATCTTAAAATCTTTTTTTGAAATATTCCCTAAAATCTTAGGGAAAATCGTATGGTAGTACCAATTGTTATCCATTCAAGTGATTTTCAAGGACTTAAGTTAAAAAAGATGCACTAAATAATTATGAAAGAGACCCACCTGATTAACTAGAAAGAAGCGAAAAAATTCAATGAATTTTTTTATCTCTTAAGAGTGTTTTGCTCAAGAGTGTTTACTTTATGGGTTCTTGTGTGGATGAGACATCGTTCTTTATTCGATTGATGATGATGATGGCTATAGACCCTATCGAGAGATTGACGTTTATCTTTGATATTTATTGTATTCGACCTTATTTGCAAGCGTGGTAGGTCATAACCCACAGGTTCCAGGATTCCAACTTCGAATGCTTTTCTTAATATGTTGTGACCGGGAGTAGGTCTCTTCATTATTATTAGTGTATCGCTTCATGTAATTTTTCTATCATAGTCTTATGTCACTCAGGAATCGAAATTCTTCCTTGTCTCGAGTGTTAGTCTCAGTGATTCCTTCTTTAACTTAAACCATGTCATTATAAGACATTGACTATGGATATTAATCCTATACCATTCTCTGCCATTTCGCTTTTGAGATTCTAAATTCGAGCTCTATTCTTAATCCGTTTTGAACTGGAGTTGGTCTTTATACTTGATAACCGTATTTTAATTCATATTATCTTTTTATCATGAATCAGTGTTATTCTAAGATCAAGACCACTTCTTGTTTCGAATAGTAATCTTGGTAATTTTGTTCCTAATACGGAAACATGTCATATCGTTCATTTCCTTTTAGTGTACGGTGATCATTGGTGCGAAACTTGGCAATCTTGACTCCGAAGATCATCATTCAGTTACAGGGTTTTGAAGATTCAATCGTTATTTGATTTCATATCAATTCAATACTAAATTTCTATTGGTTTTTTTTTTAGAGTCAAATGCGACTATGGAAATTTCTGTGACTTTCTAGATTTCAAATCAATGATTGATGTTCTTGTGTTCGATCATTCCTAGAATTGGGTGTCTTTATTCCAGTAGTTGGGAATCTATGTTGTTGATTGACTTCTAGCTAGAATTGATAATATTTTGGATATGAGATTCCAAGATGACAAAGTGTTTCTGTGTCCCATTCTATAATTCTAAAATTCATAAAGACTTGAACGAGTCGAGTGGTCCTATCTTA